TAATTTCTCAGCAATGCGAATTGGTAAATAAATTAATGTTATATTTTCTGGCAACGCGAGACAAACCGGCTACTTGGTTTGGTCGTTCTGCATAACCTAATCAGATAATGAAGAAACTTGTTCCAGTCTTTCTAATTAGCTCACAATACAATTTAAAATAGCAAAAGATCTGAGACGTCGAGAGTAGAAATTAACGCACGTATAGCCTGCTTTTCAAGTAAAGTAATGCGACGGTCCGTGTAACCGTCTCCCAGGGACCTGGGGTAGTCGCTCGAAAGGTGTTATCCAGTTCGGCGTCTCATTTGGCCGTATGTTGATGTGGTTTTAAAAGCCATCACGCGTCATCATTCTGAATCATTTTTGTGTTTGGCTGCTGCTACATGTTATGACCATCCGGCCATACAGCCCACCACATATTTCAGCTCTCTTGAGCCCTGCACTTTTAGCATTCACCAGTGAGCGTGTGGCAATCAATCGCGTGTAGGTGTACTAGTCAGCTTGGTAGCTTCAGTTCCTCATCTCTAAAGATCAGTGTATTCGCTTCCATCAATGCGAGGAGAATGAAATATAAAAATGGAATAAAAGCACAATAACGGAAAATAAATAATTTATATTTGATTGTTGTCCAATTCAACTCGTTCATAAGTTTCACAATAGTAAAATAAAACAAAAAGCAACCTCTCGAAATATTGATAAAAACGAGAGGTTTCAAAAGAAAACTGGGATTGATCCTCCATCTGCATGCGATCGAAGAGTGGCGAAGTTGATACCGCAAGTTTAATTCACAGAGCACTTAAAGCTTTTGTGGGTACCCAAGTCGCTACATCCGGGGAAGAAGGAAAAGAGATAGTGTTGTAAAGCAGGTACAAACAGTGGAAATAGTAAAACTGGGACATATTTCCACCTTGGAGTTACGCGAAAATTACTCCCGATGCTCCTGGCTCATGTCCACATAAAACTGTTACCAAATTCGTTTTGCAGTGCGAAACAAATGGAAACAAAGTTTATATGCTAGAATAAGTTTGACAGGGTGACAAGTACGTTATGTTCTCTTTAGCTGTTCTCCGGGTCTTAGAAACAGCTCCACAATTGTTATCTGTCCTTCAAACAGTTTACCTGCATTCGGCGAGAGGAGGAGTTGGTTTAGCTTCGTTTTGTACTGTCCGATTGAATGACTTCCCCTTACACGCGAAGGAATTCGCGTGTATTTGCAACATGAACTTTTGCTGAAGAAAAATTTAATTTCTGTTTCTTGAGTTGTAGTCACCATCCTCCCTAAGCTTCAGCTATCTACTCGAGCTGAAACTGTGATTGTGTATCATTTTGTAATAAAAGCTTTGGTGGATCTTTAATCAACGGAACCATAAAGGATCATTGCACAGTAACTTACATCTATCGTAATATATTGATAGCGACGATTCACTCATAAACTTTTAGTGAACATCCGTTGCAAACGCATATAACTATACATTTTAGCACTATTCCAAAAGTGAACGTATGTGGATTTAAAAAGGACAATCTTGGCTTTAGGTAGAACTATCGAGTTGTTGATTTAATCTAAAGCGCATTTCGCCTTCGATAACTGTTGTTGATCATGAATTGATAACTTTACTGCCATTATAGCCTACACTTAAATCACGGGTGGACTGAGTCGCTATTTATAGTTAAACTCTCTGATTGGATGCTACCTCTGTGACAGAGAGCTCAGAATTTGTGCACGAAAACTTTGAATAATTATTCATTTGACCAGAGCTCAATGAACTTCTGGTCCGTTTGAATGGTTTTCAGAAATCTTCCCAGATAGTCACGTGGTAGTAGCATATGAGTGATTTTCATATCCTCCACAGAATCATTGGTTTTCCATACGACTTTATTCAAAATATCGTTGTTATAGGCGAAGAATAGAGTGGGACCAAAGACACTGCCTTAAAGAACTCCACTCGTTATTGCACTTGTTTGCGACAGCAGATTAGCTAGTAAGACGGTCTGCGTGTGCTCCTTCAAAAAGGAGGTGGACCGAATCAGAAGTGATTCTCGGACGCTAGATGATTTAAGTTTCAACTAAAGCCGCTTATGTGGTACCAACGCAGTCGGAGGCTTTGTGCATCTCAAGGATGATCATCAGTATTGCCTTTTTGGTGCCTACAGCAGAGGTGACGCATTCGTGAAAATCTAACTGTCAGATGTTACATAAGTGTCTATGCATAAATCCGTGTTATTGACCACTTAGGAGCCCATGCGTTGGAAGATACTCAACTAGCCACATTTTAACTATTTTAAAAAAACCCTGAATATGGTTGACGTGTGATTAATGGGGCGTTACTTTACCACTTCGTCTTTTGCATCGCTTCCGTGTCGTGTAATGACGAGAGAATGTCTCCACTGGATTGGGAATTGGCCACCTTTTTGACTGGACGTGCTCAAAAGCAGAGTGGGATATTTAGCCTTCACGCGTGAGCACAATTTGAGGAATACCGTCTGGCGCCACACGGGTGAAAGGTCAAACTGGTTTTAAGACGGTTTTAATCTCTAGGAGTTTTATACTTAACTCCGATGGTATGCAATCTCAGCGATTCGTCTGATTGACTTGAGCAAGACCGAGGTCGTTCATGAATAAAGAAGCAAAATGTTCACTGGAGGTTTTACATATGCAGAGCAAATCGGTGATGTTTAAGTCATTGTGTCGAATTTACATAGGTGTTCGATCGGTCTACCTAGGGTTTCTTGACTGCAGCAATTTCACGAGCGCAAGTATTGTGCATTTATCAGAAATCGCCAGACGCTCTTCGGTTGTATGTCGCAACCAACAACAACCATGTGAATACCACGGAGGATGCATTTATCGTGAAAACGAAACGGGAATTGATTTAGTGTATGCCACTCCGAGCCTACCCGCAAGGCAACGGAGGGAAGTCGGGCAACCGCACCTAGTGGAAGCTGGTGACTGCTTACTCAGTTCATACACTTTTCTTTTCGCCGCGTCCGGGCTTGTGTTATTGCGGTGTCCCTCGTACATACACGAGTTGGAATCAACGAACTGTGAACTAGCGTGTTTCTGAAACACTCTGTCACTGGCTTACACAATAATGTCCTAGACCGAGTTGCTTTATTGTCTGTTTTCTTCATTATTCTTAATCATTGGCCTTTAACCGGGTTGACACTATTGCCAAGTACGAGAAGCGCCTGATTACATAAATGCACCGGCTATTGAAGCCACTATTACGAGCAGCACACTTTCATTTGTGTATGAAACGCCTTAGCGTCTTGTACCGTCAGCAGCATCATATATTGAAACAGCAACTAGACATTCTTGACTTGACACTCGCAGACAATCATCCCTAATTAGTACTGCATATGCTCGATGTCGGCGCTTCACTCTGCTACCGATTTCTTTCATGCTTTGATTCTTCAATTCACAAATTATGCCAATTAAAGACTTATTTAGAAGACAGTAGCAAAGCAATTTCTGGACAATTCTCATCCTGCAAGTCCAATCATGATTTACATTATCGTTGAGGTGAAAATGCTATTGCTAACGCAACACGGTTATACCCCTTCGAGTTTGTGTTATGCTGTGATCAGTGGTCAATTTTGTGCACATAGGCACGAATCGATGGGTGCAAATTTAGCTGCCGGACTTATGGCCATGGAAAAATGAGGCTTTGCACAGGCTCTTTTGTGTTTGCATAATTTGGATTGCAGCTTGTTGATGGCGATTGTTTCCTTAGTGACCAGCATAAGCGTTCAGCATCCTTTCGATGCTCTTCTCGGTGCAATGTAGCGGGTTTTAAAGCACAGTTATTCTATCATAGCCATGATAGCTGATCTTTAGTTCACCGATTCATGGCTGTGTTCAAAATTGACCGTCGACTGCGGTATAACACAATCTACACAGAGAAAAACAGTGCTATGCTAGCCATAACTTCTTATCCCAACAATAGCTTAAATCGTTGTTACAATGGCATGACTAGAATTATCGAACATAAATTTATTCGTATGGATCTTTTGTTTCTTCGGCTAATGATAGCCGAACTTAGGAAAGGGGCCCTAAGCACGGTGATTTACGGCGGAATCTTTGCTCATTTGGCCTCCGAACTCCGCGAGCAACGTTTGCAACAACAACGCTCTAAAATTCTGCAGCGATCCCTCCCTCTTCTTGAAGGGCCCAGAAAGGACAAAACCAATTTGGGGCAGGCAATGTCGGAAATTGCCTCTTGTGCAGTTGCAATACTCGAAATGACTGAGGTTTGCTTTAAAGTAGGTCGTGAACCGAATTATGACTGCGGGACTCTTTCCGTACGCACGGTGGATATTTCAAATTCAACACTGGTCATGTATGTGCTTTAACGTTTAATGTCTCCGTTTTTTTTCTTTTTCGGCAATTTGACAGAATCTCGCGTCGCAGCTATCAGCATATCGCCAGATTACGGGTGTCGTGCCTCGCCTTTTGTTCGATGTTGTTACACTTCTCATAGTTCGACTTGAACGAATACCCTTCTACTTATGAGTAGAAGGATTTTAGTGAGTATTTTTGTTCATCGCAATCAGCCGACAATTCAGATAAGTCAACTACCTATCCGGAAAAGCACCAGACAACCGTTTCGCCTTATTGGGGGTCGTCAGTGGTACGCATCCTTCGGTCCTCTACGGAGGATCGAACCCATGATTGCTAGTGACTTTTGCCAACTAGCCCGCAGCTTATGCAACTGCTCCATGGCGCAGTTGCATAAGCTGCGGGCTGGTTGGCACAAGTCACTAGCAGTCATGGGTTCGATCCTCCGTAGAGGACCGAAGGATGCGCACCACTGACGAGCCCCAATAAGGCGAAACGGTTGTCTGGTGCTTTTCCGGATAGGTAGTTGACTTATCTGAATTGTCAGCTGATTGCGACGAACGAGAATACCCTTCGTTTTATTAATCGAAGATATGTGTAACCAGCTGACTGGCCCGCTGAATTGATTTTCAGCGCCTCATTAATATACCCTTTTCTCTTCATTCAGCTGGACTCTGAACAAGAGTCTGGAGTGACCTCGGACGCAGCGCCTCAATTCGGTTCTTATCATCAGCAATACTGGTTGGATGACGAAAAATTAATAGCTGTTGGAGTGGTTGATCTACTTCCTAAGTGCTTGTCTTCAGTTTACCTGTTTTACGATCCGGATTACTCTTTTCTTCAATTAGGAACGTATTCTGCCCTCCGGTAAGCTTATCAGCTTAACTTGTATTTCTTCAGAGTATTTGAAGTCTTCATTACCGTCACCGTTTTTCTATGGCTAGTAGTATTGTGAAATATAAAGATTCATACATTCATTGGTACACTTTGTGATGTGTGTTGTCTTCTCATTTGGTGGGCAGTTATTTTTACTGGAAGGCGGTGACATCTTTGTCGCATATCTATTTACATCACAAAAATGTGAGGATTTCAGTTTCCCGACGAATACAACTAGATTGACACTTTACTGCATCCTTTTTTCTATTCCGATTAAATATTATGGATCCACCCAATCACCCATAGTGCTACCCAAAAATGAAACTTAAGCTAACACACGCTATATCATTAATTAGAAATGAATAAGGGCTGCCCACCTTACCGACGTTTCGCAGTCGCGCTAGGCTGTAGGTATACCCCGAGGCCGCCCGCACCTATGCGGATTCGAACCGGTGACCTTCGGATTACAAGCGAAGCGTATACTCATTTTTTCCACCGGCCAATGGAAGGACAGAAAAAATGCGCACATTAGTCAGGTGAATCCGGCACGTTTCCTTTTTCTAGTTTGAAATCTATTCCCATAACGCATCTAATGCAGGACTCAAGATCTGAACACCGTTAACACAAACGTCCCTGATAGGCTTATGCATATCGCCCGATGAAATACTACTACTGGTGGTTGGAACTATGGCGAATCTTCTAGTCGCTCATTCTTCAGTAATGTTTACTGTCATATCGTTTCGGATTCCAATGGCACAACGATTTCTGCGTTTGTGCACATTTTCTATCTGAACCGACTGATTATTCATAACACTAAGCTGTGAGTCACTTTTTCTTGGGACGCACCTCGTTTCAACACTTGAAACAATGTGAACGGTGTTGTGATGTGGAAATGTTGCACTTACTCCAATTTAAAGTATAGTAAATTTGCTTATAATGGAGCAGATTTGAAGGGCGATTACTAATTGGGACTTATGGATTGGTAACGTGAAACTGTCTGCTACTCTGCCTACTTTAAATTGCAGTAACAACGTACGTAAATTTCCCTGAGCTCCCCGGTTCACGAGACCCAGGAAGTATGTTCTCACGTTAGTGAGCCATATCTTTGTTCTTCAGCTCGTTTAGTGGAAACTCTATTGATGATGGATGGTGGAATTTATCCGTTGTCTAGAGAGACATGGATCGTTCTGTTATCCACAAAAGTTTATTAAGACAGAGTGAAGTCTATCCATATTACAATCATTGAGAATGCTAAGTTTTGACTTTCTTGTAGCTTACGCCTTTTGGCCTGTTGCGTACAACGAAGTATTTCGATCGTCACAGACGCTCTTGTGCCTCCGATCTGTATATGTTTGCTTGGAGGCTACTTGTGCCTTCTATCTAACTTTTCATTTTTTTGGTTCGTGTACTTCGCAGATGGACGAAATCGCCCGTTTTTGGCGTAATTTCATGGGGTTTATCCTTCAGAAAGGCAGCGTCTTTCTCGAGGGTTACGCGTTTGTGACACATTGGTAGTATTTCCAACACACTCAATGGGCATTCCTGGTTTCTCACTTGCCTTTTCACTGCCGCTGAGTTGACATGTTGAATTCTTGGCAAGCCCGTAAAAGGGAGTGAAAAGCAAACGAATACTTTCCAGGAATTCCCACCTAAATCATCAAGTGGGACTCATGGGAAAGAGTTGGCACCTAGTAAAGTGGATAAGATTTATTAATTATCACTGCAAACAACAACATACTGATGCAAGTTCCACACCATTATTGCTACATTGATCCTTAAGGATTGCGATCCCCGCACGCGCTCCACCCACCAAACATCAATTGAGTCTGCTCCCTGTATCGAATGTTTAGCAGTTCACCTATTTTTCAAAGATGTGGAATGCGAATTACCACTGTTTTCTCGGCTAAATATAACTATTTCTATCTAGCGTAGCAGCCACAGCAACATCCAAGATGAGTAGTACTACTTGCTTTGCCGGAGTCTTGCGACAGTGCAAAGCATTTCCCATCTGATATACTAAATGATTTTTAGTCTTTTCTGAAATCACAAATGCTTGCTTGTTCCCATGCTTCTTACAAGACCTGGAAGTTCTGCCTCCTATGTATGTACATTACTACCTTTTTGTTTTTTACTGTCCGTTTCTCGCTTTTTACACGTTTCGCAGGGAGATCGCTTTTGTTCGCGAGATTGCTCGCCAATTCGGTCCTACTTCACTATCTCCGGATTCTCGGTATGCTGACTTCACCTCATATTACATGGGATACTTTATTCGATCTTGTCCCAAGATGTCTTACAAGGCAAAGTTTCAACCCTCGTATCTTGCCTGCCCCGAAACCTATACGTGGGTCCCGCTGCAACAGTGTCTCGTACTGTTAAACTCATATTCTAACGGGAAATATTGCCGCTTCTCTCCACCTTCTGAAACTGATCAGTTCGCCATAGATACTCTAATCGGGAATGATCCTTCATCTGTGGACCAACATATTTTGTGTCATATTCGATACGAAGCAAACCGAAAACGAAAGTCCCAGTATGCTCCTAAAGACGATTTGTGTTCTCTCAGCCCCGCAATACAGCTGGATCGTCTCAAATCAAATCTCAATCCGAACTATGTGAACACACTACGAGAATGGGCCGTTTTGGTTGGGAAACGAGCCGTTGATGGACACATTCGAGTTAAATTTGATTGACCGGTGGCGAGTATCACGCAGCTATCATGTATGGCTATCTGGCCCTCTTTCATCAAACGTTTCACGGGGTTTTCTGTGGTTAAAATGTGACGCCCGTGCAGCAAACTTCTTCGTGATTACTGGTTCTTTTGCCCGGAACATATAGCTTACCTACTTTCCATCTCCTTTGGGGCTTTAGAATTCATTGCGTTGCTTCCTTGCGTTGATTAACTCACGAGTTGCTTGGACGTTGTCATGGGTTCTGTTAACTAACCTCTACATCTCGAGTGCCGCGTCGTTTAACTCTCTTCTATTCAATCAACAACGACTGAAACGAACACTGTCCTTGTCGAGAGCCTTCAGGATTAATAGATTCTAAGAACCTATGTGGCTGAAGCATTTCTTGCCTGCTGAATTACCTCAATGCTGGTATAAATGTCGCTCTTCACTCAACTAGCTTGAAAGCTTGCAGGCTGCTTATGGACTAAAAAGTTATTTTGGACGTTGCAGCCACTATGAAAACATCGAAAGGTTGGACCCTCGGTTTCATACGTCCGCGTTACACAGGACGCAACCTGTGATCAAAACCTTGTTGCTTTCTATGTGAGCCATCTTTGAACGCCTTTACTACGCTCTGCTTCCCTCCGATTTTTGATATCGCAACCAATTTATTCCACGATTGACAGCGTCAAAGGCGGTCTTGCTTTGGATGAACTCGCTGTCGGCTTGGGTGACCGGGCTTCTGATTGCAATCCTTGCATTCACTGCTGGTGCTCTTCCGCACATTCTCTGCACCCACATCAATCGGACCGTGTATTACATCAATTTCTTCAACTTTCATCCTATCATTAGCCACTTACATGTAACTGATCAATTTGCAACTGGATACGACATGCTGATGTGTTTGTCTTTAATGGTATTCACTGCATTGATGGATTACGTTATGTAAATGTGTTCACAAGATTCACTTCTTACTGAAGAATTCTCGAACGATTACATTAGTTATTCGTCAGTGCACTTGTGCTGATGCTGGAAAAATCCTTCTAGCAACACAGTCCCTACATTATAGCTCATCCAGTTCTTACAATGTGAATTCATCCTCGCGACCTTCTACTTTGATACGTCTTATGTTCTGACAAGCGCGACTGCTGACGTCCTGAACAGTTTCACTTGCAACAGATGACCTCATTATCCTTTTGCTCGATGCAGTTGGAATTTCTGGAACAGTGACGGCACTTCATTCTCTTTTGATCCCAGTTAGCAGCGAACTAGTGCCACAATCCCAAAACACTTCGTCAAGTTTGTGATCAAACAGTATATATAGAGGACGCTGCAGAGTCTGGTTCTGACTTGACTCGGGGTTACACTAAACGTAACTATACGACGGCATTTTCACACGAATACTCTATGGACTATCCCGGAATACGCTCACTGTGTACCGGGCGAATATTCGCAGCAATAGAGTCTTATCTCTACTTATCGTCCTTTTCCCACACAGCTCTAATTTAATTGACATTTTGTGCAATTTTGCTGGCATCTCAAGCCCAGCCGTCCTCTTTACGGAGGATGTGGCAGGCACATCTGCCTCTCTATTAAGGATCACACTTGTATATTTGACATAACATTTCACCTAAAAGCGATAGATAGATGTCTTTTAACTAAGTAATCTGAGGTGTCAGCCGCTTCAGCAGTGGGTTATTTCCATCACTGATTGTTGTCCTGGTGCTTGCACAAAAGAATTGGCGGCGCGTGATGCTATTATGCGTCGCCATCCGTGAGTAGCAGTGGTACAGTTCCATCCATATTTGGAAAAGAACCACATTTCCTGCAGAACTAAAGCACCATTAATGTGGTGCTTCGATTTCTAATTATTATGATAAATCCTGAAGCGTTTGTGCTTCATTGATACCCATTTTGTTTTTGTCGAGCTAGTTTATTATTTAATAACGCTTTATTAGGTTCAAACCAAAATTACCCGCATTCTCATCACTCCACTGCGGTTTGTGTAACTGTATCTGAATAAGACTACATCCCCCGACGCTCGTTGTAACACAAATCTTAAGATGATGTTTCCAAAGCATCTCTTGGAATTCGAACACACGCGCGACGCCGTCGCACAACAGGTTGTGGAATTCTACAGCCATCATTTTACCATCATCGTCCTGTTACAAAAGCACTCATGCTGTAGTATTAAACCTTTTACTTGCAATCGCCAATATTTAGCGGGAGCCCGGATGGAGATTCCAGAAGACAGATCAATTTGCAGGGAAATTTTTAGTTGTACAGCAAAAGGTTCAGTGTTTGCCTAGCTGTAAAAAGATGACATCGTTGAATGCTGCTAGCTAGGGGAACGCAAAATATGTAACACGCCGGAGTGATGGCGCGTTGCAACCGAAACGAGCGCCAAGCGGAAACGTCGATGCTCAATGCAATCAATCAGTCTCAACAATCCGCGTCGATAGTCCAAGTGTACGATGAAATAATAATTTTATGTAGAATTTTAAACAGGGAAACCAGGTAATCTCCAGGCTACTACATAGCCCTTCCCCAGAAGGGACTGCTTAAGCATTCCTTCGATCTACGTGGGGACTGTCCGTCGTGGACCATCCTTCTGCGACACCAGGTTGTGAAACTGGATGCAGTTGCTGGGGGAGAACCATGCAATCAGACCCTAGCGGACTCCCACCCGTGTCTTTCCTACGGTGTCGAAACGGAAAAATGTTTGTGAGGGGACAGTTCATAAAGTTCACATTGCTGGTTGAGCATGAAGTTCTTTGTGCTTTCAGTTGAGATGCGCGGGTCCAGTTAAACATGAACCGAGGAGCAACCAACCGACGGTGTGTATATGGAAAGCAAAATGGAAAAGCAGCCTAAAAACAGCAATACATAAAGCCGTACAAAGCGTAACACGTGCGGATCTGTTTTTGGGTTTTCAAAAGGTTTTGCTCTTTTTGGTAGTTTAAAACTATTAAGACATTTTTGTGGATTTTGGAAAACGTTTTTAGTCGCATCCAACCATGAGCGGCATGCTCTATGGAAGATAGCAAACGTTAACGAAATCCGAAAAACGAACTGAGTGTTTTGCTTTCCTACCGCGTCGACTGATAGTAGGGCGAGTAAGAGTGAGATTGGTTGAGGTTATATATTCTGTGGGCGCGAACTGACTGGTCTGAGGTTTCCCTGCTGCATACGACGCGGTACGGACCAGAATAAGGTTGGAATGACCGCCATACACTCTCCGTGCGAACGACCACGTGCGTGCAACTGCTTAAGCGACCATCCACGTTTGTACGCATTCTCTGTGCTCCGGGTTGCACAGGCTGAAGTTACCGCATATGAAGAGATATGCCAGCCGCGTAGTCGCCAGAGTTAGAAGTGGTTGGCGCTTTTGGTGAGACAAGTTCACCAGAAAAGGGTTGTGTGCAGCGAAAAACTAGCGAAAACGTTGTGGCGTGCAATTCTGCTTTAATCGCATTCCTTTTGCCTGAGCGAACGGCCAGAACTGCTTCGTACCATGATGTGCCAGCTTGAGCGCAGAGTGATGCCTTGAGTTCCAGTGTAACCATTCTATCATCCCATTAGCTGCGGGGTGGTATAGGGTGGTTCGGTTATGTTAGCAATCAAGTAGGTTAAGAAGTTTATTAAAGGATCCGTCAAAATGTGGTCCTCTGTCAGTGCTGACTAAGATTTGGCAACCAAACTGAGCTACCCAGCGTTTTAGAAAAGCTTGTGCAACTGTCTCAGATTAGCAGTCGGCAATCGGAATAGCTTCTGACCAACGTGTAATTCTGTCGACACTAGTGTGGGTACACGTAGCCTTTGGATGGAGGCAAAAGTCCGACTAAGTCGACGTGGACTTGTGCGATACGAGAGTCAGGAGCAGGAAAGACGCTGTGTGGGCTTTTGGTGTGTCTGCGCACCTTGGCGCGCTGACACCTAGCCCAATATAGTCATCTTTCTCTGATAGACATTGTTTTGCTGTCTCTTCTCACGCATTTGAGGCGTTCTGAGCGCTGACCAAGAAGCTTCAAAAAGCTGCACTTTACTTGAGTCGATATGACGTTGATAAATATCTCGATTGCTAATATATTAGTGCTTGATTGGTCTGCTTACAGAAACACTACTTTCTTCCACGATCCAATTGACAGTATCTGAAAAAATCACGGTAAATCCATTGGTGGCAGCTAATTAGACGCGGACATCACTGTTTCAGCCATACACGAGTTTTATTCGATATGACGGTGTGCATTATCACCAACTCCAGTGGAGTTAGCCGGTTCAACAGCAATCATACCGGCAGCTACTGGTGTACCGTACTGTCCTGTACGTGCTCATGGTTAACATGTCAAAACCACAGTGACTTTGTTTGGAATAAGAAAGTGCAGTTTTCCATCCTTCTGATGACTCATTGCACGTACAATGTATGCAAAACAAGGAAACAATGTCACACTACGGATGACAAAGCCAAAACTTAAGAGGTTTTGTGGGATGATTTGTAGGGATTACTTAAGTACCAAGTGTGACACTTCGATGGAACTTGAAGCAGTGGACTCACCGTGCCATTCACTTTGACACACAAGTACATCGGTTTACTTCAACTTATTTGGGGTTGGTGAGCACACTGTTGGTTTGCGGTTTGTCGTCACTCGATAATCAGAAGGCAAATCTAGTCACGCACCTGGTAAAAGGCATCTTCCAGTCATTTTTAAAATGGGTAACATTGGGCAAAGCGATGACAAATTTCGAGAAAGCGACCTACTGATGTTCACTTCGAACGGAAAGATAACTTCGACGGTATTCGAACTGACTATATTTGGTGCTTGCCAGTTTCAGCTTGTGACCCCTAAATTTTGTGTTGCGGCAAAGTTTCAGGAAAAAGCGTTAATCGGGACCGGCGTTATTCAAGAACTGGTACGTAAGAATGTGGTTACCCCATTGACGGCGATGACATCCGTTCTATGCTTCTAGGACTTTCAGCCGCAGATGGTATAAGTCTCGTTTTAGCAGATCGTGATATTCCGGACTACCGATCGCCCTATATGTCTTGATGTCGTTGGTCTAAAGCAGCAACTTTGACTGAGTGGTATGTGCAAGGTTATAAATAAACACCAAGAATAACTGCGGCCCCAGCACTGATCCACGTGTAACATCGCAGTGCGAATCGATGGGATCAGAAAATGAGCGCGAAATCGTACGCGAAACCGCCGCTGCAAAAGGACATTTCTGAACCACCCAAGAACAAGGTTCTCAGTTCCGTACGTTTGCAGCTACTAAAGAGGGATGCAATGATCTAAGCAAAAGCTTCAGTAAATTTAGGTAGGTGACATCGGCGCCGGTCCCACTATCATCTGTTTCGGCCCAGCTGTCAGGCTTATTTAGTAGATTGGTAGTACACGACAGATGCAGACGGAATCCATGTTGTTCCGGCGCTATGATAGGCCTCCCTAAATAGCCCACTAGTGACACTGCTATGGTTGTGAGCAATGGAAGGAGAAGTACTTGTGATGTTTGGTAGGCAATGAGCGGCTACGATTTTTAGAAATCGGAGTAGTGGTATTCCGCTTCCAGATTGTAGGAACCTGCTGTTAATAGCGGCATCTATACAACTACCGGGTTAGGCGCTCGGCTGTCTCCCTATCTGCTACCTGCAGTGTTTCCAAAAGAATGTTCTTAACTCCGGGGGAACAATGGGTGAGAAAAGATAATAGATTCCACAAAACCGTCGCTGGACGAAAAGTGAGACGTGCAAATATTGACGTCTGTGGAATGGAAATTATGGATAATAAATTCATCATAAAATGAAAGTGTCTCAGTGAGCTCACCTATGGTAACCTGTTAAGCACTTACTTTCCCCGTAATACACCATTGTTCCATGATTTCCCCAGACGCCATTATTTGCATGTGTCACTTTGAGTTCAGCGGCTGTTTTGAGGAAGCGGTTATCGTTTCTCACCCATTGTTCCCCCGGACTTAAGAACATTCTGCTGAAAGCACTGTAGGTATTGGATAGGAAAACAGCCGAGCGCTTAACTCGATATTTTTCTAGATGCCTCTATTAACAGCAGTTATCTACACTTCAAACGAGTTTGCAGAAATGATTGACACGGAACAATTTGGTAATAAGAACGTCGCATGGTATACGCCTCATCACGCAGTAACGTACCCAAATAAACCTGGTAAAGTTCGCGCCGTTTTCGACTGTGCTAGCACCTACCAAGGTACTTCCTTAGACCAAAAGTTGTTGAAGGGGCCGGACCTAGTGAACAATTTAGTCGGCGTTTTACTGAGGTTCAGAATGGGCATCGTGACATTGTTGCAGATACTGATGCTATGTTTCACCGGCTTATGGTGACCCTGAAAGATAGAGACTACCTAGGGTTTCTGTGGTGGCCAAGCAGTCAGTCACACGAAGCACCTAAGGTGTTCCGTATGACGGTCCATCCATCGGTGCAACGTCGTCACCATGTTGCGCATCATTCGCACTTAGAAGAACAATCGAAGATCGAGTATCCCAAGTCGACATTGGCGCTGACGCAGCGATGTTTTTACCTTGACAATGGTCGGTTAAGCTGTCGTAGCGGGGAAGAAGCTCGCCGTCGTATTCCGAATTTTGAAGCAGTTGCGTCCAAGGGTGAATTCCACTGAAGGAAATGGAAGTGTAACAATTGCCTAATTCCGCGCGAAATCACTAGGAATCAGGGCATCCAACGAATCAGTTCAATTAACTCCGCAATCCGAGAACGTATAATCCACGCTGGGACTGAGGAGGAATTTGTCAGACGATTGTAAAACCTTTAGTGTAACAAAGTTCGAAGATCGCTTTTTTCTTTCGTCGCTTCGATTTTAATCATGCCTGATTTGATGTGCTTCGATAAATTCGAGAATAAACCATTTATTTATTTATGACCCATTAGGTTTAGAAGCCCCATTACTGTTTTGTGCTAAGTAACTATTGCAATCATTCATACGAAAACTACTTAGTTGGGATACTCAGGTAGACGGATCATAACGAGAAGAATGGTATCGTTCCTAGAGAGACGCTCAGCAACTTGAAAGATTGAGGATTCTCCGGTGTATC